CCCCAAAACCCCAAAACCCCAAAACCCCAAAACCCCACACCTTCAGCACTTGTTCAAAATTTATAATAAATATTTAAAGATGAGAAGGAGAGGGCCAAAGAGAGGGCTATTCAAGGAGAAGACAATTCTAGTTTACTTCATTCTAATCCCTATCCTCACACTTGGCTTCATAATATTCTTGGTAAGCCATGAAGCATCATCGTTTAGTACAATAGAGAGCTAGCTGAAACAACAGTGATGAAGGTAGGCTTGGATTTGACCCAATTTTAGGCATCAATGAAGCTTACACAGGAGATGGCCAAGTATCCTGTGTTCCAGACACAGGAAATCACTGAGGGGCTCAAGTATAGTGCCAAAGTGGTCAAACAAGGTGCTGCTATTAGAGTCAGAAATATAGAAGAGGAGCTCTCTGTTGAATTCAAATATTCACCCAACTGGGTCAATGTGCAAATTAAACCCACTCAGACAAGTCTTTTTGAGATTCCTAATGAGCATGTATACAATAATTATGGAGAATCTTATGTATTTCATAAGTCTGAGCCTGGAGATCTAATATTCTTCCCATCACAATCAAAGTTCAGCAAAGGAACTGACAGATTAGATTTGAGTGGTCTGGAGGGCACTCTTGAGCAGGTCACCAACTCTGATGAACTCAGTCTAAGCCAGTCCACCTTCAACATCAAAATTAAGCGAAAGTCAGATGATGAGGTCCTATTTGATACAGCTCAGGAGCTTAAATCAGAGACTTTCTTCTGTCTCGGAGATCTTAAGAGCAAATTCAATCAAATTTCGATAAAGAAGGATGAAAATGAAGTCCTTTTTGGCATTGAAAAAGGGAGGACGACCATTAATCAACCAGAAGAGCAAACCAAAGGACAAAGTTACACTGCAAACAATTGGTACCAGCACCACCCATTCTACGTGAAGGTAAGCTAAACTATTTCTACAATAGGTGAATAAATTGACTGGGAAAGCCAGTGGATTTTACATCCATTCATCAAGCCCAATGGATTTCTTTGTCAGGGATACATACATCACTGTCAGGAGCATCTCAGGTATCTTAGACCTCTACATCTTCGAGGGTCCCACAGTCAAGGATGTGATCCAGCAGTACCATGATTTGCTTGGAAAGCCAATTTTCTTACCGATAATGGCCTTCGGGTTACATCAGAGCAGGCCTGGGTACAACTCAGTTGATTACTTGAAAAGCATCGTTGAGAATTACAACAAGAATAATTTCACACTATCTGGGATATGGCAGGACTATAATTATATGGAGAAGAGGACTCCGTTCACAGTTAACTCAACTGAGTTCTCCTCTGAAGCTATTGAAAGCATCAACGAGCTCAAGGAGAAGTACAAGTTCAAATACATCCCTGTGATCGAAGAAGGGATCAAAGCTATGGACTATACTCCTTTTGACGAAGGCAAACGCATGGAGGTTTTTGTGAAGGAATCTGGCCAGGATGAGTCACTCACAGTGACAAACCAAGCTGGAAATTCCACTCTAATTAACTTCTTCCACCCAAATGCAAGTATTTTCTGGGAAAATAACCTTGAAAGACTGAGGAAGAAGCTTAAATTTAATGCATTGTGGATTAATTATGACCTTCCGAAGTCAACAGTATTTAAAGAATGTGGTGACCAGAAGGACAAGGAGAGACTTTCCGAGACTTATAGCTATATCCCTGGAGATGCTTATTGCCAGTTCAACACAGATGTAATGAGCGGTTATTTCCCTAATAACTTCACTAGTGAAGATCTAAGTACTGGGCTGAACCTGTATCCTCTTTCAGGGATTATGCAATCAAAGTATACATATGAATATCTGAGGAACTATATGAAGAAGAGACCGCTGGTAGTTTCTAAACGAAGCTTTCCTGGATCTGGCCAATATGCGGGAACTTGGATCGGAGATAATAAGGCCTCTTGGAAAGCCCTTCGGATGTCAATCCCTGCAATCATGACCTACCATATGTACGGCATCCCCTTTGTGGGATTAAGTATCCAGGCTTTCTTTATTTTGTCAGATTCCTCATACATTTGTGAGTATAGTTCAGGCACTTCGGAGGAGTTATGCATCCGGTTGCATCAGCTTGCCTCCTTTATGCCATTGACATGGAACCATAATTCAAAGATAACAGTGTCTTTGGAGAACACAACTGCTACTGATTTTGCGAAGGAGAGTGCTCAGAATGCTCTTCGTCTTAAGGAAGAGCTTATTTTGTTCCATTACTCTCTTCTCCTGAAATGCATTGTTGGAATCAAGGGACAAGAAAGCAAGAGTGAATGTGCATATATTACTCCGTTAGGGTACGCCATTTCTTTTGGGTATTTTAGGGATAATTCTGATGCTTTCGTTGCTTCTGGTAGTTTTGTTTCTGTATTTGGCCAAACTATTTTTCATGAAAACCTATCTCTAAAGTATATCTTGGATTTTAAATAGCAAATTTAGGCAAATTAACACAAAATAATACAAAATAAATCTAAAATTTACGCACTGAGTTTTGAACTTGCCTAGGATATTTTCTTGGTTTAGCCCACTGAAGTTGAAGCAATGTCTGACTTTGAGAATATAGATACCACTACAGTCCATCGAAGAACGAGTCAATTGATATTTATGACATCAAGGACCAGTTCATGTTCGGGAATGCTCTGCTGGTCAACCCAGTAGTAAACAATGATGAAAAGCAAAAGAAGATCTATTTCCCTGAAGATACTTTTTATGATTTTTATACAGGCAAATTAGTCGAGGTAAGCTGTGTTCTGGGTTTTCCCTCTGGATTTGAATGTTCCAAGATTTTTCTAATAAAAAATATAGGAAAGAGACGCAGAGGTATTAGTGCCAGTTGTCATCGAGCACATCCCAGTTTATTTCAGAGGCGGTCATACTATTCCGATGGTTCAGCTCCATAACAACTCAAATATTGACTTACACATTGCTTTGAAGAAATCTGTAGAAGCTTCAGGAAGAACTGTGTACAGAAGTAGTGGGGTGTACATCCTTGACGATGGCGAGTCCTTACACAGCTATATCTCATCAATGATGTACTACATATCTATAAGTCACTTATCTGATGCCTTACATAGAAGTGACGTATGCTCCTCCAGATTCCATGGTGGTTAAGATTGTGCCCCATAAGCCAAAGTCAGGGACTAGCCAGTACTTGTACTTGACTAAGTACAAAACTAGTAAGTTCTGCTGATTTTGATCTATTTTAGTTTCGAATTTGTTCCTGTATGGTTACGAATTCTTGATCGGCCAAGAGCCCCAGATTACTGTCATCTTTGAAGGGTAAGCTCTTTCATAATTTTACATAGTGACAAAGGAGTTGTAAATACAAAGACACTCAGTGAGCTCCAGAAGAGCAATGACAAGACCAAGGTAGTCAACGTGGATATTTCCATTTAAAAATAAAGAATTTTGCAGGTATCAATCTAAGTTGAAACATCTGGGGTTTTGGGGTTTTGGGGTTTTGGGGTTTTGGGG